CACTAATGTCTGGATATTGAAAAAATACTTTCCCCTGGATGCTGCCTAAACTGGAAGGTGGTGTGGCCTTGCATGCTAATCTTAGTATTTAGATCCGTTTTCGTTAGAGTATCCGTGGTTACCATAGAAAAGTATTTTGTATGCACTTTCATACAGTAAAGTCTTTCTCAAAATCAGATGGAGGGTACAGTCTACAGTGAGTGTTGTTTTGTTGTGTTTTTCAGCCTATATGATGGACAGCAGTGTAGATTGCTTGGTTTCTGGAACTCTCTTAAAGGGTGTACATTGGCTTCTGAGAAGGAATGAACCTTTTGCATAATGTCTTAACCACATGTGTTCTGATAGCTCGGCAGAGACTGTTGAGGCTGTTGGTTTCTGACTTGCTTTGAGTAAAGGATAAAACTGACACGTCAAAATATCCCTTTTTATCCTTTAATGTAAAAGCGCTGCCATTATCAAGCTCCAAATCTGACTGAGATCTACTGGATTTTATGCAGGTAGTTAAAATTTTTCAGAAGTGACCAGACAAAATTTAATAGTTCTCTAAGGTTATTCACTGTGAATATAATTCTGGAATCCAGTATGTACAAGATGTCTGAGACTTCTCAGTCTTTATTTAGGTAAAAATAACATTTCTGTGGTACGTGAGAAGTGTTTGACAAGAGATTCTTGAACCCAACTGAGCACTAAGCCACCAAAATATATCAAGTAACACAGGAGAAGCCTTGTGTGCCTACACAGAGGCAAATCTTTGTCTTTGGTTGGATAAATATCTCTTTCCACTCACAAGTCTTAGCAGATAATCTAATTGTGGGTTTGACAGTTGTGTTAACAGTGAAAAGTTAATGTTACGGGTTTGGGTTCCCCCCATTTTAGGGGGAGAGAGAGGGGATATACATCCTAAGGGACCATTTATGTAAGTGTGGACAGAACTTCTCAGCAATAAACTCGTATAAAATCTATGAGTGTAGATGATAGGTGTGTATGTGCTGCCACAAAATTGACAGAACCTGTGTGAAAAGGCATGTTTGCTTAGCTGTGTTTTGTTTCCATACATGCTTCTGTTTCACGGTTCTGGGAACGTGCTTACATTTAAAGTGTTTTTTCAAAACTTGAAAACTCTTGAGGAGGTTTAGATTCAAGTGCTTAGATGGAAAGGAAGTGCTTGTCTTTTATTCACTGACTTCTTAAGAAACTGAGTTTGAAGAGCTGAAAACAAAAGAATTTCCATTTTGTTGAGGCTGATTGTGGCATAAAAATCTATTTTAATATTTCTTTCAAAACTCTTGATTTGTTTCTTGGGAAAATCAAAACCAAAGTTTTTTCAAATTTTTCAAATGCTTATTTGTATTTATTTCAAGTTGGATATACACTTATTGATGGAGACTCTGCCTGCCACTTTTGTCTAAATTTTGTGGGTTTAGTACCAAATTGGTAATGGTAATAACAGGTGTGTTATTGCACACAAATGTTAGTATTTTACAAAAATGCTACTGAGATTGTCTAATGGCATCTAAAAGCCTCACATCTCCCTTAAAAAGAACTGTGGAATGTGTTTTATTCTTTACCAATGATGCCTCATTTTCCAAGGCTTTTAAGATTACTTTGTTTTCTGAACTGCTTCTAGGATAGCAGTATTAGTAATTGAGCTTGTTAGGGGAAGGTAATAGAAACCACAGAAATTGTGGCTAGAGTTCTGATCCGTAAATAGCTTGCTGATTAACTTTTTAATTCCTCAGATTACATTTAACTGAAGGAAAAGAAATTTAGCCCTGTAAATCTTTCCTTGTTATCAACACAATTGTGGTTAACATTAAGATAGTTAAAGGCTCAAGTGTGGAAGAGGTGGTTATTCTCTCTTTCATTTCTTGCACTTCATAGGTGTAGCTTTGGCCAGAAACATTGCACACTGTTTGCTCTGCCTGACACCTGTGCAGGTGGAGACATTTCTGTTCTCTGGAATTATTACTGCTCACCTTTCTGTCACCAGAGTGGTTTGTGTTGGCTTCCTATGTCACAAATATGGCTGAGTTAGTGTAAGGAATGATAGTTTCAGAGCACCTCGTGTTAATCATATAGACCATAAATAAAAAGTGCCTGGAGAAGCAGTTGAGTTCTTGGACAGTGATTTTCCGCAGGGAAGTGATGACTGCCCTACAGCCATCCTGCTCCTGTCTGATGGAGCTGAAACCTGAGGGTAAACTAATTTCTAGAAAATGGCTTGTCTTAGCTGGTGAACTGAGGAACAGATTCTCTTTGTAGCATGTTGCGCCAAACTTAACACATTTCTTTAAAATATGTTTAATTTCTTTAGCTTCTTGCTCTTAAACCTTTGTTTTTTCTATGCTTTTCTTTGCTTTTTAACTAGAGAAAGTATACAGTACTTTGGTCAGGAGAAAGTGCTCATATTTTTCAAAGTTACCCCTCATTTTCTGTTTTTGAAAAAATGGACAAAGTAAGGCCTTAGTGAACGGCATTTTCTCAGCACTTGGCTTATTTTTTTCTTGTACCTTCTGCAATTCCCCCTTGGTTTCTCCCTCTCCTTTACCCCCAAACGTGGGCACTAGGACTGGATGCAGTAGCTTAATATCAGTTTCATCAATAAAACATGCATATAAAAGTAGATGAGCTTTTTTGTGCCTTTCTCTAGCATTGCATTGGGATTTAACATTGAACTGGCTGTGATGCCTAGATATATTTGATAACTATTATTCAACAACTGCCTTTTAGCATATGATGTAGTTGATGGGTCTTGTTTCTGGACTTAGAAAAATACATTTGCTTATATTAAAGTGAAATGGAAGCGAAATTTATGAAGAATGGGTAAGTTGTATCTGTGGTCAGCTTGTGGGGCTGGTTTTGTCTCTTTTTTTTTTCCTTTTTTTATGGTGATCATAAAGGTAAGTGGATCTTCCATGTTTACTGGCCTTTCATTTTCCATAACTAAAATTTGGAAGCAAAATTTTTAGGGTTTTTTTCACTTATTTTCCAGTAGAAGGCTGTTGAGGGTACTACCATTTAAAGAAATGAACTTATGTGAATTGCCATTGCAGCAATCTTGCATGTTTGACCAAATAAAACCTATTTTCTGAAACTAGTATTGTGGGTATTAATTCTCAGTATAACATTAATTCTGCCAATGCCTTTTTTTATGCTCAGTACCTGTTACCCTGATTCCTGTAGAAAAAGTACTTCACATTTAGCACTTTTGGGGAGTTTTATTATTGAATGAAAACCTTTCTTTCAGTCCTTTCCTGCCCTCTTGCAGGGCTTAGAACTTCAGGAAAAGAATCTCCAATTATTTGTGTTGCCTCAGAAGGGCAGAGTAAGTTGAGAGCAGCGTTTTTGTTATTTATCCACAAACTGACTGACAAAAGGAAGGCAAAGAGTTTATAGCAGCTCTGAGTGCAGATATAATAAGTTTTCTGTATTTATTTTATGGTAAGTGGAGGGACTCCTTACTTTTTGTATTGAGCTGCAAGTTTTATTTTAAACCTACAGGAAATGTTTTACTCTTGTCCTCCAATGCTTTGTCCTTTCGTTGTGTGCAAGAGTTTTGATTATTTTACGTCCTGTGTATGTTACATTTTACTTTTCTACATGAAATGTTCTTTATGTTACAAGCTTTCCAGATTTTTTTAAAGTAATATTTTCATCATTTATGAAAATATTGTGCCATTTGTTTATGTAATTTATGTTGCATTATTAGTAAATTCTTTCTTGTGTGGGGGATACAACTGTGGAACATAAGAAAATGCCTTGCAATTGTTATTACCACCTTGATGAAGTCGGAACGTTGTCTTTAGTATACCTGAGGAAAATATCAGAGGAAGCAGTTTTCCTCTGTGTTTGCAAAGTAGTGAGATGGGCCATGTGAGTCTTGCCCATTTTTTGTGATGTGGCAGACAGATTAAAAGGAAATCTCGAGAAGAAGAGGTTACATAAGATATGTAAGAACTTGTTACATACAGTGATGGCAGTACAATTGGAAATGTAGCCAACTGAGTTCTGGCATATGTTTTCATTGATTTTCTGCTCCAATTACCTGCTGTGACCGTAACTCCTACGTATCCAATCAGTCTTATAAAACTTTATTATGAACCCACAGTGATGATGGCAACTGAAAAACATGAAATGTTGTTATATGTAAATTTAGAATAATCACCTCCTGCTTTGGAAATGATCTGGCTTGACTCTTCGGCTATTCTAGAAAGGTACTGTCTGATTTGATCAAAATGTTTAATGCAGAATTAGGGTTTCAGAGCAGTTTCCAGTAAGTCAAATTTGAAATTATATACAGCTATTTGAAAAAATATAACTCATTAATTTCATGCAGAACAGAGAGCTAGTTGTTAAATGCTGTTAAATATCCAACTAAATACTTTCATTTAGTTGTCCACCTTCATAATACTTCAGCACGTGCGGAGTACAGTTTAGGAAAAAATACAGAAATATTACATGCAGCATGTTATAAATTCTGCTAATGTTTCATGCAACGTACTCTTGAAATTAAGAAATAACTATTTGGCTCCAAAAGATATTTACCAGTTTATTTGGTATTACTGAGAGTATATTAAACCATTTCATTTATGCAGTATAAAGTTCCCATAGAGCCTAAAAACTATGTGACAAATACAGAAGTTTTTGTCTAATGCTGTATGGATTGATGCTGTTTCAAAATATGGAAAGTAGTATTTTTTATTGTTTAAATACTTCTAGCTCTATACGGCTAAAAAATTAAATGCTTCAGAATTTTTTAAGAAACATCTACATTGCTTATTAAAAGATGGCTTCAAACACAACAGCTCTAAGAAACTATAAAGATAAAAGGGGAGTTGATAGTTAAAGTTACTGCATACTAGCTATAACAAAGGATTTAAATTTCTGAATTCGGAAAAAAGGGGAGCAGGTCACATTTCTTACTCCTAAGTGTCTGGATGGCAATCACAAGAAAGGAATGCGAATGGCTGCATAACTTTTTGAAAGCAACACAAACCGACTTAACTTGATGGGTAGTAATAGGGTAGATTCCAGATTCTATGAGAGAAGGTGGGAAACATGCTGTGTGTGTTTTTGTCAACGTAACTTGAAACAGTGGGGATTTCATCCTTGTCTGGCTTGTTAGAGTCGCCACGCGGACTGAAATGTTCAGGACAATTTGTATTCCATGCATCTACCAACTGCTCTGGTTGGTTTTCTCTCTCAATGGTGGTGAGAAAATCTTTTAAAACTTGCTTGAATATGTAGACTATTTCCCAGGGTAAGACATCATTTTCTGCCAAAACTTCACGAAATCTAGAAATGAACAAAAATCGAAATCTAATCATCAGTGCTGAAAACTCTTCTGTTTCCTCTCTGGTCACTGGAGGGGGGAAGGAGGAAATTACTGCATGCTGGTGCTATTTTTTCCTTGCTGCCACATTTCCCCACACACCTCCCCCAGAAGATTGTGAGAGGAAAAGAGCTCTTACAATGTACTGGATGTGCTCCAGCTATTATGAGAATTGTAAGTGGTTGTTATTGGGTATGCTTTTCTTTTTTCCTTTTTTTTTTTTTTTGGCCCATCTGGGTAGCTTGATTTAAACTGACTTTGCCCTTAGGTATATTCTGGGCTTTAAAAAGAGCTTGTTCTGTTGTATCTGTGAGTCCCTAGAAAATGTATTAAAATACAGGCATAGGTGAATTTTTCTTTGTAAAATGTGGGGGGGGGGGATTTTTTTTTAAATCGGAAATTTTTTTTACACTGATTTGCTAGTTTTAGAAGCTTTCAGGTATTTTGAACAGTAAAGCTGGATTTTTTGCATAATAGTGCATTGCATTAGTCCTTTGATTTTTGGTTTTTGGGTTACTATTTTATAAATATTGGGGATAAATAACAGAGGAAAAACTGGAAGTATCGAAAGGTCATATAAGACTTCCCTTGTTTGGATTAGACCAGGAAAATCCTGGTTTAAAACTTCCTTCAAGCACAACATATTAAAGTGAAGATGTAATTTATAGAACAACTGTAAAATGCATTCCAGTTGCAGGTCACTGCTACTTCTGGAGATCAGAGCCAAATACTGACTTGAACTAGGTAAAAAAACATATTACTTTTGATAGAGTACTCAGAGTTAGGGAAATACGAAACAATTACCTGCTAAGAACAATTCCTGTTTGGCAAGGCTGGATTTGTGAACACAGAACTTCGAGTTGCCGTTGCTCAGTAGCTGGAATTGTTGCTTGAGGATTCTGGTAGTTCTTGAGCCAGTTGTAATCCATGCCAGTCTTCTGGACTTTTTGTTCGTTTTCGATCTCTTGCACGAATCTTTCACGCTCTTTCAGGTGCCATTTCAACTCCCTCAGCAGGGTTTTTGTAACAACTTCTGATCCAGGACATCTTGTGGGCTTGTAGGAATCAGGTTTTGACCATTTCATCCAGCCAAAAAGTGGCATTTTTAAGCTGGGGGGGGGGAAAAAAATTGGTTGTTTCTGTCTGACCGATTAGTTCTTTTTACCTGTAGACTTCCTTCTTGGCAACTGCATGTCTGAATGAAAATTTATTAGTGGTGCTAAACTAGCTTGCGGTACAATAAAAGTAGTGATAACAACAATCACCAAACCATAATGAAATCTGACAAACCTTACACTTCATAAAATTTCCCGTCTGTTTTCTGAGTTAAAATACTACGTTAAGTTTGCAGCATTTAAAAGTGCTTTTATTATCCTATGGTATATATGGTTAAAAAAAAAAAAAAGGAACCCTAGGGAACCATTCCCCCTCGAACAAGCAAACCTAAAAACCTCCGACCTCACAAAAAACCCAAAACCAATCAAACACCCCCCCCCCCAACAAAACAGAAAACCCCAAACCTCCAAAATTTGAAGTTACATTTACATTTAAAGGTTATACTAATTAATAAAGTTAAGTGCTGGAACTCTGCATGATCTGTTTTTACAACTTCTGTATCGATTTATATTTTAAATATTTTAAATAAATTGTTGTTCACATAACCTGGAATCAGAAATCTGGTGGAGTAGACTTTTAAATTGCAGTTTGTAAGAAATCATGCAGACACAAGCGTGCAAATTGGAGTAAAATAACATAAATTACCTTTGAAGCTGTCTTTGAAAAGTGTTGTTTCAGGTCAGTTTGCTTGAAGGTCTCTTATTCTAGCATGTCCTGTTTGCAGGTTGTTACTACTGCTGGAAGGAAACAGGCGTTTTTTTCTCTTTTTCCTTTTTTTCTTTTTTTTTCATTTACTCAAACTGTGCTTAGAAAAAAATGACTTTCTGTACTGAATATGACAGTTTAAGTTTTTCTGCTTTTAAGGTTCTTTTTCATCCTCTGTACCAGAGAGAAGCAGTAATCCATTTAACCTAGCATGGTCTCTCAAATACTTTCTACCAAGTCCATTAAGATCTCCTACCTTTGAATTGAGTTCTGCCGGTGGCAGCAATTTAAAAAAAGATGGTGACAATTTCAAATGCTTGTTGCTAAATCCATCCAAAGGTATTGTTGGTAGTGAGATGAATAATGATAGTCTGAAGCAACTACAGCCCTGCTTGTAGCTAAAGTTAAGGCTGTCGTGTGATGTGATGCTTGGCTGTGCATAGCTGTAGGTCACAGTTTAGAGCTGTATTTTTATGCCTGTAGAGTGCTAAAAATAACTACATTGCTTTTATCATCAAACTAAACTTTCAGGCCATTGAGATGCTGGAAGACTTATCTCCCATTAGAGGGGGATCAGGCTGTTCTGCTGTCATTTTTAAACAGCTAAGAATAGTTTTTCTGTAGTAAAGATCATCTAAAGCTTTTGTTAAGTGAGTGTTGACAGAAAAGAAGTATTTGACAGTTGCTCAGGATTTTGTTGCTGCATTAAATGCTTCTTCCACATGAATTTCATCAATCTCACGGTACTGTACTTTTTCATTACTGTGCATTGCTGTTAGCATTTTAAATTAACATTCCAAATGTGTATAAAGAGGCAAGGCTGTAACACCTCCAGTGCGCCACAAAAGGCACGTTAATCTAATTAAAGGAAAAGAATGATAAAGAGATGCAAATTGAGGTCAAACTGATCCAAAAAGCCCAGAATTGTAAGTCTTACCATAGACATTGCCTCTCTCTCAACTGGCTGTCAGTTGCCTGCTCCCTCCTTTCTTGATGAATATTTTGAGCATATCCATTTTTAAGGTTCATTCTCAGGGCTGGCAGTGTGCACACCAAAGGTCGCTGAAGCAGCCATTTTCCGTTCCAGTTATCTGGTCTCTTCCTATTAATCTAAATAGTGGCCATGGAATACGAAATGCTGCCTCTCCGTCTCGCTCTTGTTCTAACGACTGTCTTTGCTCCCCCAAGTATTTTTCATTCCTACCTTTTTTCCCTCCACTGGTGTGTTGAACTGTTGGGAGAACAAAGGTTCTGTAAATTTGTTCTAGATGTCATACAACATAAAGGATGACGTGTATGGCTGTTATTAAAGCTGATATTACTTATACATTGGAAAAATTCAAATGTCAGTATTAATCCTCTTCAACTGGAAGGTTTTCACATTGCATTGTATGTGGTACTATGAAAAAGGAGGGGAGCTAGGTTTATGATGACAGAACTGTCCTGACAGATTTTCAGATGAAATTGAAATGCTCCTTGCCACCTCCTTTACAGCACAGTTAACGTGTCACCACTTTTTTCCACTGTATCAATCTTCAAGTAAACTGCTGTACAGTATAAAACCATAATAGTGTCTTTGCAAATTAGAGATGCATACTGGAAGGTCTGCAAAGTAATTAAATGAGAAACCTACAACTTTTATTTTTTAACCTAATATTTGGTTGCACCATCGAAAATGCAAGGCAGGATACTGAGAACTATGTTTGTCTTTCCATTGGTAGAACACTGAAGTTGAAAATTAATATTACTTCTACTTTTGCAGGCATTTCAGGTGTGTATTCAGGAAGAGGTGGCTGCTCACGTGTGGCTGGTGTTGGAAACTGGAACTTGAAAGTAGAGCAGTATTTTATGCAGTTTCTAGCCCATGTTTGTTCCTAGGAGCTTTGGGGAGTTAGAATTCCATCCAGCTGTCCCTAAATATACTCATGGATCTGCAGTGCTGTGTCAGGGTGGAAGTTTTGGCTTGACTTTAGCTGATGGTGGGTCTGTTCCCTGAAGGCACTTCAGAGTTTGTCTTTATTAGTAACTTAGTTAATAACGTCATAATGCCCGGCTCTGTGCATCCCCAGTCAGAATAATGAGCATACCCTGGTGCATCTGGGAGAACAGTTCCTATGGCCATGGGCTCGGTTTATTCTGTTATTTTCTTTTACCCTGAAAATAAATTACATATGAGGCACAGTTCTATTTTCTGCTTGATTTTTTTCAAGGCATGTTTAAGGAGTCGGTTACTCTTACTTGTCTGAGTGGAAGGGAGTGTCAGTGTGGTGTGGTACCTGTCATGTTAAAAGAATTCCTCCTCAGGTAGTGTTTGCACCTGTGGGGATGGTTACTTTTTGGGTATGGTTTGTACCGAAGAGCTGCAAGTAAACCCAGCACTTGCTGGAAGAACCCTCATTTTCAGAGTGGTTTGGTTCTGCTGTGTGGGTGACTTGGTGTGAAGGTGTGGAAGTCCAGTTTGTGGCTCTAACCATTAACCTGAAAATGTCTGATACTCAAAATTTCATCTGTTCTAGCAGTTCCTCTTTTGTCTCTTCCTGCTTGACATCACAGTTGTGAGGAGAAGCTTGGCAATTAAGGTAGAAGTTAGAAGTATTGCTTGCTTTTAAAATTTTTTAGGGTTAAAACTTCTTGTCAATACTCTTAAAGCTCCTAGTTGGTAACAGACTAAGTTCTATGGGGAAGGCATAGCATAGCTACAGAGTAAGAATATTTACGTACACTTATGAATACAGCAGACAACATACAGATTTAAATAGCTGAAACGTACCACAGGGAAACGGGATGCATGTTTTGAGGGTGCTGAATATGCTTGGATTTTAGCTTTTTTGTTGCAATAGTAAAGCATAACTCCAAAGAAGTACTTTAAGAATAACATTGAGGTGGTTTTGTGCATCTTCACAGGAGATGTCCTCTAGTATAAGCAGTAGCATTAGAGATGAATGAATTCTTACTTGAAAATCATCATGAATAATGTTAATACTGACTACTTTAGAAGATGTGGCTGTTTATGGCAAGGTAATGTTTCTTGGCTAAAAAGAGGTGACAGAAAATGTTTATTTTACCATCGACACTTTTTGAAATATCTTGAAAGCTTTCTTTAAAAAAAAACAAACAAAACAAGTAAATAAAATGATGTCTTTAGCACAGGAAATGTAGGTGGCTAGGTAAATTTTACATGATATGTGGCTAAGTAAATTTTATATTCTGATTATGACTTTCAACACTACAGTAATAAATAATTTGCTGTAATGATATGCAGAAGGCATATCTTGAAACAGGCTTACCATTCTTGCAAAATCTGAAATTCTCACAAAGAATAAGTGTTCTCTAGGTATCAGCTGTTTTTCCAAGTGTAGTGTTTTATTCTGAAAAAGTATTGTTCTGTAACTGTATTCTGGGACAAAAAAACCCTGCAAATCCAAGTCATCTCTGAGTACAGCAAGAAGACTTCAGTCTTAAGACATGTGCCTTAATATCACATACACAAAGGAACTTCCTGAACTGACAACCAGGTCCTGTAATAATAAGGCAGTCTGGTTAAACCTGGGGCTGTGCTACTATACCTGTCTGTAAGGACTACAAATTCAGTACTTGTGCTGATTGAGTGTGCTGTTGGACAACACACTATTTTTCTGAGAGAAAGCCAGTTTGAGAAGAAATTGGTGCTGAACAGCAGTTCATTCCAAGCCCCTTCCATTTAACTGAACACTGCACTGATGCGAGGAACAAGGTGTGATAAATGGAGAGAATGGGTGAAGGAGAAGCTTCTTATTCTTTTCTTTGGAAAATTTTATGGCATCTGTACCATCTGAGATGCTACTTACTCTTGTAATTGAAAGGGGCAAGAGGTATAGCTTTCTTTATGAATGAAACTCAATGACACCCTGAGAAACGATCAACCTAATTCTTATTTGACCAAAAGTGCTGATAGCAGGTCATAACCATAGCTAGCGAGCTAACATTTCAGCACATTGTTGCAGTGGTGGATGTTCCATAATTCTTTGCTAGTATCTTGATAATAGTCACATCCTGTGATTTGCTGCCGTGGGTTTTGTGTGAAGGGCTGATGAATCTTGTGGGTTAAGCCTGATAGGCACCTAAGCGCTGTGCAGCCCCTCGCTCTACTCCCTGCTGACCCTAAATGGGATAGGGGATGAAGAATGGAAGAGCAAAAGAAAAAAACTTGGGTTCAAGGTAAAAAGCTGTTTAAGAAGGGGAAGAAGAGAGAAAGAAAACAAAAGAGGTGATGCAAAGGCAGTTCCACATCACCCCTGCTGGG